CATTGAGGTGATGATATGTACCAAATTCCATATTCATATAGTTAGTAAAAAAATTAAAAATAAAATACACTGAAGCGTCAGAGCTAGATTAAGTAGTTAGTCGCTGACCTGATCTAAAATAGACAGTTGGACGGAGAGAAAGTATAAAAGTTTTATACAATAAAAAAAGCATAGAAACCTTTCTCAACAATGTATACAAACTTCCACAGGGACAAAGTGAAATCCCTCGCATTATTCTCCCCGTATTTAAGAAATAAATTGACAAATCATTAGCCAAAGAGTTAAACAAATAAACATGATGTACAATTCTTATTTTAGTTCTACATTTTCTTCAAGTTATCATTGTATTTATTTAGACAATCTTATTTTCTCTAATTTATATATTCTCAAAAAATCTCATTAAAGAGTTTTAGTTTATAATTTTTAAATTATTAAGTTTAGTCAGTGAGCTATCAAAAAGCACCATTATCAGGCACTCTCAAATGCAATATTTCTTATAAAAGGAAAACTCAAAAGTCCAATCTAGAATCCACAAAACTCAAAATGAAGTTGAGCAGGCACCGACTTTCTTCATTGCAAAAGTCAAAGAATTACGTGAAAACAATAGGGTGTGGTTTCCATAAAGTTGCAACCTTAAACAATCCAATTAAGACGCACCTTCAATTTTGATTATAACATATAATTTTGATGTAAATTATTCTTAGGATTATCTCAAAATTTATTTTTATATTTAATTATAATATTTTAAACTCCAAAAATGGTTAAAATCAAGTAGATATATAAACATATGAAATTTTTGAAAATGGACAGTCTAGATAATGTATTGTAAGATGCACTATTTTTGGGACTCAAAATCCTATTTTCTTTCATAATCATGCAATGTCGAGATGCTCAATTAGATGGTTTTTGAGACTCAAAACAACCTTTTTCGATGATTTTTTGATATGCATCCACATTGCAACCTTATATAAACTTTTTCCAAAACAATATGATGCCATGTGATGATAAAACGTACATGTAAGAAAATAGAGAGTAAACATCCATATAGAAGTAACATGTGCAAGGTATTCCCATGCACTGGTCTAATATTTTAAGGACAAGCTTTTTAAGCTTTCTCTTCCGTATAAAATTTATATACTTCTCCTTATCCAATTGTCCATTCTGAATAGACTGCTAAGAAGGTACCAATCACAATGTAACATCTCTACACTATTTTATTTTTCATTTTTTCACAAAATATTTTAACACTAAATTTTGAGTGTCCACATCTCTCTTAAACTAATAGTAGTAAGAAATACAAAAAATACTCAATAAAATAAAATAATCATAATACCCCTAAAAAGTTTAAAGTGTATTTTGATCATCACATTTTATTGAAAAACTCTTTTTAATATTTTTTTTATGTGTGCCCCCATTGAGAAAATGGCACATACCAAATTTCATATTCATAAAATTCGTAAAAAAACAAAAAAAATAAAAATAAAATACTATAAAGCGTCGAATCTAGTTTATCTAAATTGGACAGCTGAATGGGGGAAGTATAGAAACATTTCCCATCTTTTAAACCTTAAATCTAAGAGTGATTTACACACGAACCCTAAAATGTTTCCTAAAATACGAAATGCTCCATTTAAAGATGAAAATTACAAAGAAAGTTGGTCAACCCACCTTTTTTAGAAAAATAAAAATAAAATTTGGACCGAGGATTCTGTCTTCAGAGTGAAGGGCAATTTTTAAAACAATAACAAAAAAGGCAAGATGACCGACCTTCTGCCTATAAATAAAAAATTTAGAATTTTAGAAAAAAAAAAATTAGAGTCTCTATATAAATCAATCTAAATCTAAAAACAAAAAAATTAAAATTAAAAAATTGAACTAAAAGATCCATCCCTAAAAGCCACTCATGTCTTATTACATAACTATCCTCTCTCTTACTAAATAATGTTAGGGTGATTTGTTGAGGCCCAATTCTTAAAGATATGGGTCAAGGTCCTACAAATATAGTGAGAGGGAGAGTTATTATGATGATTGGGGTACTCTATATTACCTGGCTTTTCTCTCTCTTGTTTTTTTTTCTAACAAATAAATAAAAGCAACATCAAACATGGATTGCCCACTTTTTGGATTTGGGTGTAGTCTCTATAAGGTTGCAACCTTAAACAATCCAATTAAGACGTACCTCCAAATTTTTGGGATCATCTAAATATCTATTTTTATATCGAATTATAAAATTTTAAACTTAAAAAATGGTTAAAATCAAGTAGATCTACACATATGAAAATATTGAAAATGGTCGGTCTAGATAATGTGTCACAAGATGCACAATTTATACTATTTCTTTTGGATTTTTTTTTGTCACTTTGAAAATGTGCACAAAGCTTCAAATATTTTTAACTTTTTTAACTCATATCAAGATGAAATTTGGAGGGTATGTGCGCCTAATTATGTGCTTTCAACAAATAATATCAAAAAGTAATTCATATAATCTAAAATAACCAAAATACCCCTCAAAGTCTTAGGGGCAAATTAATCATTTTATTTTTAAAATGGTAACTTTAAAATATTTTTTTGGTAAGTGTAGGTCATTTAGATGTGTAGAAACCAAGATTTTTGACCCACCGCCAAAAAAAAGAATAAAATTAAAATTAAAATACTCTGACATGCTCTAGATCATCCAATCAAATCAAACCAAGATTTTTAGACCCACCCACACAAAATAAAATAAAATTAAATTGAAATACTTTGACATGCTCTAGACTGTCCAATCAAATCAAACCAAGATTTTTTGACCCCACCCATACAAAAGCAAAAAAAAATTAAAATTGAAATACTATGACATGCTCTAGACTGCCCAATCAAGATTTGATGGTTGAGATCCAAAGTAATTTAGGTGATTGTAGAGTTTCAAAGGTGTTTCAACATTTTTTTTTCTTAGAATTTTTATGTTTTTTATAAGTGCTTGAGGGGGAGAAGCATAGATGACCAAAATTTAGCTCAATCCAATGTGTGTGTGTATATATATAAGCATAGATAGCCAAAATTTAGCTCAATACAATATATATATAAGATATGCTATCAACTGTATTTTGATAAGAACAATTGTTTCATGCCCGCATTTCTACAATATGCGGGCTGGTTGCATGCTAACCGTGTCCTTTTATAATAATACTTTTTCCAATTTATTTTTTATAGGTTATTGAGGGTGAAAAGTATGAAAGCCCAAAATTTTGCTCTATTTGATATATAGAGAAAATAAAAAAGAATCGAAATACTTAGACATGCTCTCACCTTATCCAAATCTTCTCCTTCTAATGTGGTACACGTCTATTTCACTTGACCGGCTGTAGATGAGTTATGATTTCAAAATCTCATTCATTTAACAAAGGATGGGGTTTCTATGAGTTAGCTGACTCATATGTACTCGTGTGGCCCCACTAAAATTCACCTGAAAGATAGATTTTACTTCCGAAATTTTAGAGATTCACCATCTAAGCTGAGTTGATCATAAATATGAAAAAAAAATTATTTTTTGATCTTTAAAATGTGTGTTCTTTGTGGGTATGTTTTAGCACCATAGTTGAATTGACACTGTGCGTTTTACACAACGTCCATCTTAAAGATGGACGTTGAAGAGTTAGTGGCCTGTTGCTCCCACAGCCTCATGGAACAATTTTCCTTTAACAAATATTTCTATCTCATTAATGGAAACTTTAGTAAATGGGTTGAAAGTGGCTAATTTTCAGATCTCCTAATTTTCAATATCTCAACTTAAATCAAAGATAGTTTTCCAAAAGTTCACCATAATTCCAAAGTGGTTAACCAAACATAGTATTTTCCTTTACCCAAAATGCAATCTTTTGGACCCTAAATGTGCACCATTTATGCTGCTGCTTTAAAATCTGATCTTAAACGTCCATTTCAATAAATGGAACAGTTATGGAGCATATCACGAGCTCCAAATCAAATTTTCCTGAAGGACTATTTATTTGAATGTTTTAGAGCTTTTTAGAGTCTCAATCTCGGAGAAAAAACGGGTTTGTGGTGTAGTTATACCAGATACATTTAAATTATATTGAGAAATTTAATTTTTAATTAGTCATTTTTATTTTTATTTTATATTCAAGTCCTATTTTTGAAAAACAATTGTATTTTTCTTTTACTTTTTATCTATTGGATTAGACTTAAATTGGGTCAACCGTAGTCCCCAAAGGGTAGGGCCAGGCGTGGACCTAGCTCAACCGTAGTTCCCAAAAAGTCGACTCAGGCTCAGCTCGGCCCTGACTGGGCCAAAAAGGTCCTGGCCCAAGCTCGACTCTAGGCACATCAAGGGCATGATTAATAAAATGAAAAACTATGAACAAAATAAAAAAAAAGATGGCCAAATTGGGTTAGCCATGGCCTTGGCTCGCCCAAGCCTTACCCTAGGGCCATGGTTGCTTGACCCTCATGCCACACCCAGACCCTAGTTTTTAGGGTTGGGCCGGACCACCCCCCTATTACCACCCCTTATTTCAAGTTTTTAGGTCTTGCGGCTCTCTTTCGATCTCCCAAAAATGTTAATTCCACCTACTTCGGTAGAATTGATATTTCCACCAAAAAAAAAGAAAAAACATTTTAAAACGTAAAAATCGGTCTCCAATTAAAAATGTGAATTCTACCCTAAGAGGGCATCCAAACAACATTTACCAGCCGTTTGTATGGAAATAGGTCTCCCAAAAACTTATTTCCCGGGAACCAAACGAGCTCTTAGTATATGAATTCGATGCCTTTAAAGACGTTGTCCTAATTTTCAGTTAATCGGATGGTTATGAATAAATCGGATGGCTCAAATTCATGAGTTTTTTTCACATAATTTAAACTAAATATTTTCCCCCCAAAAAAACTGCTCCCTACTGGGGGTCTTTAAGACAATCGGATAAATAATAAGGGTACAATAGTAATTTTCCCACCACTATATCCCAGCGCCCGCGAACGCATTCCGCATTTGCCTGAAATGCAAGTAAAGGTATTGACCTAAATTTTCTCTCTCCTCTTTTACCCGCCATTTCTCTGCAACTTAGAATTCTTGGATTTTTACAAGCCTTCATCAGGCTATTCAATAGGCTTTAGTCCTATTTTTTCCCGTAATTGCGTTTTCTTTGGCCTAATTCATCCATTACAGTTTGTGTCACTGTTCTTCTCGAGTTTTCAGTGACTTCATTCTAGCTCCATTGATTACTGTGTGATTTACCGGTTCTGATCTTAATTATAGTCCTTCATGTATTTTTCGAGCCTATGAGCATTGATTCGGGCCATTTATCTGAGAAATTCAGGTGAAAACCACTATGTCTATCCATTAATGGTGTAGTTCAGAAGAGATGAGTCCTAATGTGGGCATTGACAGTGTAATTTTCTGGTGATTAGTTTTTGTTTTTCATGATGAGCTCAAGTCATGAAAAACGCAATGATTGCAGCCACGAAAAGGCCTATAGATTATCCAGCACTCCATATACAGAGATTGCTCCTTGCTTGCCCTTGCCCAGACTTCCAGTTTTTTGCGGAGCTCTCAGCTCAGATCTCTCACTCTTCGACAATCAAAACTTTCAATTCATTGATCGTCCTGAGATACTTGCACAAGCTAGTAGGATTGCAGCTCTCCTCAAAGACACTGATGTTAGTTACCTGTAAGTGCTCCATAGCATTTTTTTAGATACGAAAGATTTGATAATAGTAATAGTAACAAAAATTTAACTGTAATTTCTACTACTAGTATCAGGAACGGTATCATTTTCACCATTGTCAATATCCACTTTTTGGCTGGTCCGTCATCATCAGTAGTAGCAGTAATAGTGCTTACTATACCCTTTTTATCTGTTGTAGCATTATTTGTACTATTATTTTATTCATTTTAAAAAGGCTAAGTCTGCTTGTTGGGGATTTTGGGTACATACTTCAAAGGTTTGAACTCTTGACCTCCCTTGTCCAAGCCAATATGTCTACGAGCAAGTTGAAGCCTAAGGGGTGCTGTTATTATCTTCATTAGTCTTTAATAAATTTATTATCACAATATATTTTGACGGTATGGATGGAAGCATGAGTATATCTGATGGAACTCAGGGGAGGCTCCAGTAGGCCATCAGATGATGGAAAGATGACTTAGGTGGTTTGACCTGACAACAAAGATGACTTAGGTGGTTTGGCCATATGCAATGTTGACAACAACAACAGTTAGGAGGGAGGATTTGGTTCATGTCAAAGGTTTTAAAAGGGCAAAGAAAAGGCCCAAAAGAACATGGATGGAAGTAATAGAAGAGATATGGTGACTTATGGTCTGAATGAGGTTATAGCCCTTGACAGAGTGGCATGATGGAACATGATTCCTGTAGGTGACCCCAAATAGTTGAGATAATACTTAGATGATGATGATGATAATGATGATGATCTATTTTGAAAATTTAACTGAGTGATTTTGAATGTTAGTGGTTTTATTCATGATCTGTAGAAAACCTAGAATTGTGCTCAATGGTAATGAAAAAAGCCCAAGTTTGCCATGAAATTGGTGAAAAATTTAGCTTTAAGAATGCATTTGGGATATGAAGTTTAGTTTTGGCTTTGATTAGAGAATATTTTATCTTTTGAGAACATTTATTACAGTTACATTGATGTTTTATTTAAAGTTTTGAATTCTTGCCTTCGGGCTTTTGCATTGAGAACTTGTTATGTTTGTTTTGATTTTGTCTGGAACCGTCTTCATCTGCACTAGGTCAGTAGAGAACATTAAAATACATAAGAACTTCTGATCACATTATTGGAAAAGGTTGCCTTCTACCTGTTACACTCATGATTATTTTGTACATACTTGAACATTATGGGAAACATTTTTTTTTTTTTTATGGTTAATGAAATTTCATTTCTTCTTGTAAAATGTATAAGTAGATGTCTTAAACAATACATTTGGGAATGATGGAAACTTAAACAACGCAGAGCCAAAGAAGTCTTGAGTAATGTACGGAAAAGTACTGAGGTTAACATGTTGTAAAAACATGTGTTATTCTCATTTTGTAATGTTTGTTGATCAAGTTATATTGTAATTATGGATTGATTCCCTCCAGGTACATATATACCCTACTGAAATGGCATTTCTATATATAATATTAATATACAGGCAGGATGATCCAATCCAATATATTTTAAATACACATTGTTACAGTGTATTAGAGTACCTTTTTATCCTTTCACGCTCTCCTACTCCCTTCCTTTGTGATTCTTCATCCTTCCTCTTTATCTCCCACACTTTTTTTTAGGATGTGCACTCAAGACACTACACTCATTTCATCCTCAAGGTTTCCACTAAAGAGTCTCTTTCATCCCCCAAAATTGCGTTCCATCTATCTTTCATGCAAAACTAACTTACAAATCGAACAAATCCAATCTCTCACTATTTTTATTTCCTGAAATTTAGGAAATTCTTACTAGTGAGCAATTTCTCCTCAACCCTCTCATAATCTGACTCAAAGCTCCTTCTATGTCACCCTTCTTCCGCACAAAGGAGAGTGACATTAGTTTTCTCTGTTTGTATAGTTGAAGACTCTAGAATTGCAAGTGAGGGTCACCAAGAAAGTTTATTATAATTAACTATTGGGAAGCCAATGGGGAAAATCATGGTGGGTTTGTATGACGATGAGGCATTTGGTATTTGGTCAGGTTTTTGGAGGGCTTGTATATTGTCAAATTGATTGAGTCTCAGGAGTTAGACGAAGGCAATCACCTTGGAAACAAAGTTTTGATAAGTGGGTGTGGAGAGCTCCGCTAGCCTATAAATACAATTTAAGGATAAATAAGAGACATTTTCGTGAGATTGAACATTAACTACTTATATGAGTTCATGTAGAAATTTTGATTTTCTTTTTCTTAACCCTGTACTTTACCCAACATTGTTGTAACAAGGAGAACCATGATCCCTCTCTAAAAAAAGAAAAGTCCAATCTCGTGGTTTTGGGCTAGGTGTTATAGTGATGTTGTTTTTATGACTACATGCGGTGACGATGCTCTATTTGGGATCAAGAATATTGGCCTCTTATCGTTAGCCTCTATGCTTTTCTCTTTGTTGCACTGGTTTTGCTGGCAAAGGCCAAGAAAGACAACGGGGCATGGTTTAACAGGGGAGGGAGAGAAAGGGCAAAATAGTAAAAGTACTTCCACTTAAAAACCTTAGACAGGCTCCCTGACTTAAGGACTTAAGGTTCTAAGATCTTGGCAGAATGGTTGGTCCAAAATTAGAATACACCCATACATATACATACATGCATACACACACACACATGGTGTTCAAATTAACAAGTCCAAACTCCCTAAATTCTCTATTTATAACTCTTGTAGATAAGCCTTTTTAGGATAGGCTCTTTGATAGGCTGCTCTCTCTAATCATAATTGACCAAGGAGAATTTAATTCATGCCTCTCTCCCCCTAAAACTTGTCCCACCTTTTTTTAAAGATGAACTAGAGTAGAAATAGGAACAAGGGAAGTAATATAAGAAAATAAAAATTTAAAAATTTAAGAAAGAAATTCCATTTCAGTTGTTAAAAAGGAATTTCTAAGAAAATAGATATTTGAATCATAATAACTAGATAACTTTGTTCAAAAAAATAGGTATCAATGTTAGAAAGAAATTAGAAAACGGTGGAATCTAATAAATAAAAGTAAGCATAAAAGTTCAAGTAAAGATTAATTATGTGAGTTTCAATAAACATGGAAATATAAATGAACTTTGAAATTAAATAAGAAACATAAATATTTATTAAGGTTTTATTTAGATTAGTATTAAAAATTTGTTTTTATCTAATCTCTCTTGGTTAGCTGGTTAGGTTATATGCACAAAGGCCCAAGTTATTGTTATCAGACAACTACATATTTAGAACTGCAGCTGATGAAAAACGATAGCTATGTTCCGAGAACTTGTAATTTGTCAGTGCTCCAAACTCACCCTCATCGTCTAACCAATGAGGGAAAAATATTATGCCTGAGTTCTCAAAAAAAACAAAAATATTTTGCCCGCTATTTTAATTATGATGAGAATTTGTTAGAGCCTTACTGAACAAAATATACAACTATTACTTTGTGGTTAATCGGGAGAGAGAAATAGTATGCTTTCTTCAAAAAACTTGACTACCTATTTCAACCAATGTTTTAAACTTGGCTCGTTTTTTAGAATTCAGGCCTTGGTCTGCTCGAGTTACTCGGGGGAGTCCGAGTCAACTTAACCAAGTTCGCATTGAGTTGGCCAAAAAGCCAAAAATCCAAAAATCCAAAAAAATATTAAAAAATCATAGAAAAGGGAAAAACAAAGAGTATATAAATGACAAGATAATTTGTTTAAAAAGGAAAAAAGGAAAACTGATTAAAAATCGTTATCTTCTTAGAAAAATTAGAAAAACAAAAAACATCATAAAACTGTAAAAGGACATAGAAATCTAATTTTGAGTCAATTATAATTGATTTAGTCAAAGATTAAATTAATTACAAATCCTTTATAATTAATTGTAAATGACTTATATATAACCCAAGTTTTGGGGGGACATAGGCTGTATCCTGCCAAGTTTGAGTTACCCAGGCGAGTCCGGGTTGACGTGCCTGAGTCTGAAACACTGATCTAATCTATTCTGGTCCTATCGTGGAATACTGATTAGAAATAACTTGAAACACATGAGTACTATGACAATATAAGTGTCCACGGAGAATCGAGTTGAATAGCTGGATGAGGTACGATTTCAAGTTGAAGAGATTTTTTGAAACTTAAAGAAAAAGAAGAAGAAAAAAAAAGACACTTCTGTAATCATTGCTCAATATTTTTTTACTTTGACTAGATCTGGGTACTGTTGTTTTTCTTTTTTCCTTTTTGTTCTTTCTTTTTTTCCAATGAAAGTAAGGGAATTTTGAGAGGTACATGAAACATGGTTATCAAATTTCCTATTATTGGAGCCATTTGTTGATTCAAGGCCTTACTGTAGTGTAATCTCCATTTTTGCTGACTAAAAACATCACAGGTAATGATGTTGTACTGGTTGAAATATGTTAAAACATGCGAGGAACAACTGTTAAATGTGCCTTTCGAGCTGTGCGCTGATGACAGATTGATGGAGTACATAGTATCTGGGCCTGGCTATTTTCTTGGCCGCGTTTTTCTAAATTGAAAGGATAATGTGTGTCATGTTACTACAATTGAAAAAATAAGTGTGCCATGTTTCTAACTTGCTACACAAGCTTGTGCCTTAAATTGATCTATGCTTGCAGATCTCTCAGAGATGATTCCAATTCTATTTCTAGTCTCACTGGGGAACCTGGGACCCTAATTTCTGAAGTTCTTCACTATGATCCTGAAGCTTTCAGTTGCTCCTGTCCAGGTAATTTTATTTTGAAAAACAACTCTTTCCTGGGTAACTTATAAAAAAATAAATATTTGATCTTTGGTAATTATATGGTGGTTTTCTTCTTTCTTTACTCCTTTGCTCTTTCTTTTCTCCTTGTCGTCTGTTAGTCCTTGTTGGGCATCGAGGTTGATTTTATCTCCATTTAATTATTCATGAAAGATAACCACTAGTATACTTACTTGGGAACACTTCGATATTCATGGGTATATAGTCTTCTGGCTTGTTTATGGGTAATTCTAATTAATCGGAGGCATGCATAGGCAAATGAAAGTATAAAGGTACGTGATTTTTCCAGAACAAGAAACTATTCGACATCACTCCCCTTTGGCTATTGATTCTGCTTAATGGAAAGGCATTTGCATTGAGCAGCTCATCTGTGTTCTATAATTACTTTTGGGGTAAATTAGCAAAAGGCTATTTCTCAAATGCCTTAAAAGCTCCATCCTTTCATGTAAATCACCTTTCAGCGCCGAATATGACTATCTTACCCTTGTGTTTGACTTATTTCAAAAGTTTGGCCTTATATATTGCTATAAAGGCATGTAAAGTAATTAAAAGTATAAAGATGCCACTTAGTATTTTGGAAAAGGTATTCTTGGTTGTCAAAAATTAGAGATAGGTACCGAGGATCCATGACTATTATGTTATATGTCCTTGTTTATTCATTGTATGTGTCATAAAAGTTCTATTGAAACTAATATTTACTCTCTGACTGAGATAGTTTGCATGATGTATTTGATTCAGGTAACCTGTTTCTATTTAGTAGAAATATACTAGTATGCTAGCTAGGAAGTCCATCGACATTTCCTTTCTTCTTTTTTTGTTTCCTCAGATCTCTCTAATTCAGTGTTTATTTCTGATTAAGAATGGTGCTGTTTAAGTTCCTCAGGTTTCATTAAGAAGCAGACTCATCATAACTTGCCATCTGAAGGGCAAACCTTGGAGGAAAAGGTTAAAACTGCTGTCCTGGAAGAAAGATTTTCAAAAGGGCCTCAGCACCACTCAGATGGGCTTATTAATGTATGCAATTCCTGTTTGACGTTACTTTATGCTTGATGTTTTGTTCTCAGTTGTCCTGTTTCTCTGAATAATTGGAGTCGTAGGTTAATTTAGGCAAAATTTTCAGTCATGTAATTCATGGATGTTATATCTTCATGTTTTACTTTTCTTAAAAACCTATTTGATAATGGAAAAAAATTACCCTTGTTGAAGGGTATTTGGTTTCCGCTCCATGCATTTGTGCAGGAAGTTCATGAGAGCATCATGATTTTATTAACTATAATTTATGCGATGTGTTCTCTACATAATTGTTGCAACACTATAAACAGTCGATTGCCAATTTTTAGCATGTGTACTAATAAATTTCAGACCAATGTCAATGACCTCAGTGATTGGGTTTTGCCTTCATTCTTGATGTGCATCTTTTTCTATTTTGATGAATAACACTCTTGGCCTCTTCATGATTTCACAATGGCACAATAGATCACTAGGAAAGGAAGAGATAAATCCCACATGAAATCCCTTTGGATTTTTGGAGAGCATTCCCTCTATTAGACCCACCATGTCATTTTCTACTCTTATGAGCATTTGGAATGAGATCGCCTTTGAGCAGCAGGAAAGTTCTCTTAGCATTTTCTGTCTTTTATGGCCTAGGAAATGCATACTAAACCATCTTATCATGTTTAGAGGGTCCAGTCTACCACCAGTAGGCTGGAAATGGATCTAAACAAGTCCCTTGCTGTTGAAGAGGCCTAGCCTATGCTTCTATGGAATCCACCATGCAAAATAATTTAATAAAGGTCTTATTAAATCTTTCAAATCCTAATCAGTCCTGTTTTGGTCAGATCTAATGGAAAGTCAGCACATGATGTAGCATGATTCTTGAGGCTCAGAAATGATTCCAGTCTTACGCAAATTTAGATTTTTCTTATTATATTTTTTATCAAACTCAAAACATATTTGTATGTCGTGAAAAATTTCATTCATTACACAAAATTATCAAGGCAGATCTAAGAGCAAAATATGACTTCTTTACAATGATCTGATAAAATTTCCATGTAAATGGCCTGAGAATTTCCAAGACTTCAACCCAAGCTACATTTTTCACTAGATCCTACATATTAGAAGCCTTAGATTCTTGAAAAAATACTAGATTCAATGGATTTTGCAGATCAAGACTCGGGTGAGTTCTTAAAACTTGATTTTGATTATTATTGATTTATTCAAAATAGATGGTTGATAGTTGATGAAATGGAACTTGAGGCCTAAATATATCTCGATTCTATTAATTTTTCAGTTATTTATGTTTTTCCCTTTTTCTATTTTTCCTTAGTCCTTTGTGGACTCAGGCAGGACTTCGGAGAGTCCACTTAGACTCGCCCGAGTAACTCAGTAGAGGCATTGGCCGAGTTCCAAGCTTGAGCTGAGATTTCGAACACTGATACGTATACATCTCATTTTTTTTTTTTTTTGAGAGAAAGGTTAACTGCATTAAAATAAGTAAATTACAATTATTCTAATCCTAGAGAAGGCAATCCCACAGGTTGGGTGCTCAGACAACAAGAGTTTAGAGATAGAGAGATAGAAGCAAAGAAGAAAGATAGAAAAAACCTAAAGAAGGAAAATGTGCTGAGCCCAACGAATGTAGAAGAGATGTTAGAAATAGGGGGAGAGAAGAAGAGAAGAAGAAAAAGAGAAAAGAAAGACCTAAAGAAGAAAAATGGGCAGAGCCCTACATATGTATAAAATATGCAATCTCGTATCGAGAAACAGAGTGCCATATGGTTAGAGACAAGGGCCTCCAGTAGTGGCAGCTGACCGTGATGAATGTAAGACCTCTCTGGGCTAACTGTAGTGAGGTTTGGACCTCAGCAGCCAAATGGAAGAACTGGTGAGAGCTTCAGGTCACGGCAAGATGGTATAGAACCTGTTGACTATGATTTCTGGTGAAAGAACTGATGAAAGTCCTCGATAGCATAGAGAGCAGTGCACCCCACAGTAGTAATCATTGAAAATCATAGTTCTATAGAGAAATTGATGTAGAGTAAACAAGGATAGGTATGAGAATGAGATACCCAAGGTGGTTGTATTAGGAGGTGCCATTGTAGATGATGGCAATGTCCAAGGTACGTCAACTGTCCATAATGTAATGCCCCTCACTAGATTGACTAACCCATCTATTAGAGTTGTGTGTAGATGGGTGGAGGATGAAAAGAGAGATGAGAAAGGGAGTATGTGACCCTCCCTAGATTTTCTATTCCCAAATCTTGGAGTAGAGTGTGGATGGGTGGAGGATGAAAAGAGAAAGGATGAGAGAGGGAGTATAAGGAGTGCAGCTGTAGTGGGTTAAGTGAAGTGAGAGATTGGAACCAGCTTGGAAATTGTAGAGGAGCTACAGTGAATATAGTGGAAAGAAGATTGGAACTAGAGATAGAGAGAGAAGTAGAAGAGGTGAATGGGTGTGCAGGAGCACTGCAACTGTGATAGAGTTTTGATAGGGCGATTAATGAGAATGGAAATGGTAGAAGAGAGTGGGGTTGGGGCGTATAAGTCACAGAGATGCGTACCTGAGATTATTCTCTGATCGAAGCGAATACTTCAGCCACTGGGGCAGTTGGTGATGAAGTGACAACAGGGTTTTCCAATGTATAGATTTATATGCTAAAATAGAAAAAGTCAGACATAATCTAATTAGTAAACATCATAACTCCTTTGCATGAACTTTTGTTAAAATTGAAGCTTTAATGTGTGTGTATGTACGTGTTTTTTGTTGTGTGTGTGTGTGTGTGTGAGAGAGAGAGAGAGAGGGGCTGGTTCTTCTGGATTGGAAA